CATTTATTTAAGATGCTTTCTTGTTTCCATTGTATAATTTTGGCTTGCCAAAAATCAGGTGTCTATAGGTGTGTAGATTCATGTCTGGGTCTTTTATTCCACTTCATTGATTAACCTGTCTGTTTTTATGTCAATATTATACTATTTTAATTACTATAGCTCTCTACTAGAGCTTGAAATAGGGGATGACTATACCTTAAGAAGGTTTTTTTTTTTTTATACAGAATTTTTTAGCTATCCTTAGGGTTTTGTTTTTCATATGAAGTTGAGTATTTCTCTTTCAAGGTTTGTAAAGAACTGTGTTAGAATTTTGATGGAGATTGCTTTGAATCTGTTGATTACTTTTGATACAATGGTCATTTTTACCATTAATTCTACCAATCCATGTGCATGAGAGATCTTTCCATCTTCTGATAACTTGTCCAATTTCTTTCTTCAAAAACTTAAAATTAAGAACAAGACAAAATTGTTCACTCTCTTCATATTTATTCAATATAGTACTTGCACTTCTAGCTAGAACATTATGACAACTAAAAGAGCTCAAGGGGATACAAACTTGAAAGGCAGAAGTCAAAATATCAGTATTTGCTGATGATATGCTAGTATACCTAAGTGGCCCCAAAATTCTGCCAGGAAATTCCTAAAGCTAATAAACACCTTTAATGTTGTGGCTGCATATAATATTAAATAAAATGTCAGTATCCCTCTTATACATAGATGATAAACAGGCTGAGAAAGAAATCAGGGGAAAAACACCCTTCACAATAGCCACAAATAATATAAAATATCTTGGGGTAACTCTAACAAAGTGAAAGACCTGTATGACAAGAAATTCAAAACTTACTTTAAATTTTTTATATGCATTCCTCTTTGGAACTATTGGTACAGGATTTGAGACAATTAATAAAGATATTTGCATATCTTTTTTTCTCTTTTTAGTTTAAGAGATGTTTCTCCATAGTGTTCTACTATAACTGAGACCTGGTCAATGATCAAATATAGACATTTCTGGAGAAATGTTCGGATTAAGTATTTGTTCTATTGTATTCTTGTGTTTTACCCTTATCACTTGCTTTTGAAACTCCCTCTTTTTTTCCAAGTAAAGAACCAGATAAAAACCTATTCTTGCAGACTTTGATGAAAATAATGTACATTATTAGATATGATTCTATTTCAATATTTGAAAAACAGAAAACCCACTTGAACAAGTAATAAAAAATATCATAGAATAGTTAATGATGCTTACTTTGGAGTCCAGTAAAAAGTCAGATGATTAATTTACCTAAAAACATTTTTATAAAAAGCAGGTTGTGATATCCATCCATTCTTACTAGTGTTATTATATACTACGCTTATTTGCTCTGTAACTACATGCATAATTAACTAGGCAGACATGATGCCCAGGACTGACTTGCTTGCTTCCTTTTAGTGGAAAGTACAAAAGTGCATTGATAGTCACAGTGTAATCAGTGCTGTGGAGAAAAAGACCTAGGGGAAATTATGGTAGGGGCAATGAACTTCATTTAGAAGGTAAAGAGTTTTTTCAAATTCCTTAAGAATTAAATAATGTAGAGGAATTGAGTGTGGAAAACATGGAAGAAAGAGCTCACATAAACGGGGGGAGGGGGGGTCCCCTGGACACTTTGAAAGAAATTCAATAGGGAGAACCATAGAGCAGATGGTGGTTTGAGGTCAGTGTGTAAAGGATTGTTCGAGTGGAATAAAAGCTGATTTAATATGGGTTTGTGTAACTCAATAGTACAGGAGGGGCATGTATGATAACCTGTATTTTATCTGTAATGGAAAGTTGAAAAGTAGAGGGAGGTGGGGAAGAGAGAAGAAGGAAGAAAAGATGGAAGAAGAATGGGAGAAAATACAAGTTGGGTAAGGAAGTAAAAGCAAGAAATATCTGTTAAAGAGCAGGCCACATGCAGGAGTAGTTCACCAACACAAAATATACTCCATAGTTTTTGAGGTTTGCTTTTAAAGAGAGAGAGAAAGAATATGATGTTAGGTGGGTATCAAGGTAAGGGAGGATCTCAGAGGAGCTGGAGATGGGGAAATAACATGATCAAAATACATTGTATAAAATTTTCAAAGACTAAATAAGAATATTGTTTTTGAAAATGGCTGTTATAAAGAAGAGGAAACTAACTACAGAAGCTTAGAAGAATCCTGGTGGGTTCAGTCAAATATTAGATTAGAAAACATGAAAATGAGGAGCATATTCTTTGATTATTTAAATCGAGTAAAAGGACAACACCCAAACACTCTGTGCATTCTTTCTAGTCTTCATCAAATTCTGACTTAACAAGTGTGGGGAAAACCTAGGAACAGCAACTTTCATCAACAATAAAGCACAAGTAGCATTCAGCTATAGCACAATTTGTCAGCTCTGCCCTTGGCTTTGGGTACTAAATATTCACTGCCTTCAAGACCAAAAAGATTTATGAAAATGTTGATAGTTTAGTGGTTCTTAAAGTCATAGATGATATAATTTAAAAGCCCACAAACAAATAATTTAAATGAGATATGGTAGGGACTTTTTTTACTCTATTAAATAAAGCAGCATATATTCGCATGATGAAGTGTTTTGGTCATGATAGGAAAGCATGAGAAAAATATTCCACCTTTTCTAGCATCATTTTAGAGTATTTCTCTAGAGTAATAAAATATATGCTTGTGCTTAGTATGTTCCCATACTTATGTCCTTTGTTTAACTTTGTGTCATACTTGCTTTTTATGGTTTTACAAATCTTCTGTATCTTAAACTTTATGAAATACCATTAATCACATCCATGAAAAATTTTATATTTATATGTATACTAACAAATTTTTTTCTCTTCCTTGTGTAATTGGCTGCTTTATGCTAAATATTCGAGTAAATGATAAGTATAAAATAAGAGCTGAGAAGGATGTGGTGTTTGAGAAAATTTGCTATCTTCTTAATCATAAACCACTTTGCATTCAGGATGAGGAACTTAAGATGGATTTCTAGGTGTGAACAACTAGGTGTAAAAGCATGTTTACAATCCTTAGCATTTATTACCATGCTGATTTCTGAAAGCATCAAGCACAATCATTTCAGGGACAAATAAAAGAAACTTCTACTTTGCCATCATTTAATCCAGACTGTAATGACTAACTTAAAACTAACCCAGACTAGTGTAAGCTTTAAAACTGGCAATGGAGGGGTTTGGGGCACTGGTTATTGAAGATGGGACACAGAAATGATGAACCTATTGCATCCCACATGCTAGGCAAGTGCTTTACCACGGAGCTACACCTCAAGTCCCTCATATATGCAAGTACCATGTAAACACAAAATTATTAGTGTTTCTCAGAGAGCATCCCTAAGCAGTTACAGAAGGCTCAGCCTGTGGCAAATTACAGTGACAATCACTCTCCACATGGTAGGGGAGAAGATAAGAAGAGAGGAGAGGAGAGGAGAGGAGAGGAGAGGAGAGGAGAGGAGAGGGAAGGGAAGGAAAAGAAAGGGAGGGGAGGGGAAATAAGGGGAAGGGAAGGGAAGAGAAGGGAAGGGAAGGGAAAGGAAAGGAATCAGATTCTGTTTCACTAAGTGCTTTGGGTTGGCAGAGCTGTGGCTCCTATAAATATTAAGGCATTTCTTAATATTTTAATATTAACTTAAGAAAATATAAATTTTCTTCATGAAAAAGATCAAAAAGTCAGAAAAGAAGCCACATAATGCAAGTGATGTATGTGTGTGGGGGGGTACCTGTCCTTGTTCAGTGACAAAATAGATTGAGAGACAATGTCATGACTGGGAAAGAGTCACCGTTCTCTCAGTGCTGATCTCCCACTACTTTCTCCAAATTCTATCCAGCAAGCAAGGAAGAGACAAATAAAAGACACATTTACCTTGATGAAGAAAATTCCCACTCTGTGGCTATTTGCCAGCCATAGTACCACACAAAGGATGCTACACTTACGAAAATGCATGAATATTTCCTTAGTTTGAGGAACTATGCTCCTTATCGAGCGAGATGCAGACCCAGTAGCAGGATTGGGAGGCATCTATGCAAATGCACAAGAAGGAAAGCCCTCAAGAGGACTCAGGGAGACTTTGCAATCTAAAATGCTGGAATCTTCCTGAAAGATGTGTTTTCTTTACTAGAATTAGAGGATGATTTAGAGGAAAGAAGGTGGAGGGAGAAAAATCATGGTTTGGGCAAGTGAAACTGTTATTCTGAGATCCAGGAAGCAGAGTAGGGAAAGTAGTTCTAAGAGTGATGGCCAGAGGTGAAGTGTGAGCTGAACCATCATTAGAAATGAGCCTGGGACAAATGTAGGATCAAATGATGAGGAAAAATAGAAACCATCCTAATGAGCCTGTCATTTTATGTGTTTTAGAATACTTAGCCATCTGGAAGGTTAGAAAGGATATTAGCAGAATTGGAGAGATGGCTCGGTGGCCAAGAGCACTGCCTGTTTTCCCAGAGGGCTCAGGTTCAATTTCCAGGATGCACAAGTCAGATGGCAACTGTCTATAATTACTGTTCAGGGGATCTGAAATACACAGATATACATGCATGCAAACACCAATGCACATAAAAATAAATAAATAAATAAATAATTTAAAAACAAAACAAAAATGTTTGGGGTGGAAAGTATATTAACTTGTCAAAATGAGACAGAAATCTAAACTTTAAGAGATTCTAAATATCAGGCCTGGCTACAATCTCTAGAGACCTGACCATGCCTCCAGTGGAGGAGGAGTCAATGTCACTCGCTGTGCAGGAATCTTTCCACAGGCAAGAACAAGCCCTTGCATTGGTCCGTGTGGAGTTCTTAGGTATTTCTTTCACTGACTTTACCTGTATCATCTCAAACAGGAAATTTGTTTTAGGTAATAGTGATGTTATACGTTCATCTTTCTTTCTTTCTTTCTTTCTTTCTTTCTTTCTTTCTTCCTTCCTTCCTTCCTTCCTTCCTTCCTTTCTTTCTTTCTTTCTTTCTTTCATTCTTTCTTTCTCTTTTTGTTTGTTTGTTTGATTTGTTTTACAAGATAGGATTTCTCTGGGCTGTTGTTACCCAGCTCTAGCTGTCCCGGAACTCGCTTTGTAGACCCGGCTGGCCTTAAACTCACAGTGTTCTACCCACCTCTGCTCCCGAGTGCTGGTTTTAAAAGTGTGAGCCACCACCACCTGGCATAATTTCATGTTTCTTCCTAGTTGCTCAGTTGTATCAGACTTGTCAAAGCCAAAGTCTACTACCTCTTCTGTTAAAAGGACAGATGTGTTTACAGACGATGCGGGCTCAAAAACTGTTTCTTGCAGGTGCCTATGGGTCTCTGTGACCAATGAGAGGGGATGACGAGCAGTTAAAGCTAAAGAAAGATTCAACCGCCCTAGGCTTTGCTGCCTCCCTTCATACACTTCCTTTTTGTTTGTGTTACAGAAATAATGCCTACAGGTAAAACAGGTACTTTACATTCACTAACTACTGAAACGACACACACACAGAGAGAGAGAAGAAGCAACCAGAGTGGTTCGTAACTTGGCAGATGGCAGTACTAACCCCAGTCCGCCTCCCTTTGGATTTCAATTGTGTGAGGAAATAAACCTTTGTTTGATTAAGCCCTGGCTGCCAGGTCCTTGTGTTTTCAGCTAAAAGAAGTCATAACTAAAGCAGCACTTTTCTTTGCCATTTAACAGAACCCTTTGGTATTCTTTTTTATTTTCCTTTTTTTATTGAAGTAGTAAAATGAGTGTTCTTTAGAGGAACAAATAAGTTATGAACCCCAATCTCCCAGGCTGGCTTTTCTAAGCAGGGCTTTGTGAATTAAACATCACAAGTAATATCCCCAAGGTCTCCTCGGAAGGCACAATAATACAGCTCTGAATGAATTCATATGAATGTCTTGGTGCCCTTTTTGACCATGTGTGGTTTTCATAGCCATGAAGAGAGAACCAAAACCAATTGATATATTCCGGAAATAGACTCCAGTTTCTTCAAAATAACAGTCAAGGAAAAACTGAGATAGGATGTAACTCATCCATTAAACTTGACATGGCTCAATTGCCTGAACAGGCTGTCTGTATCAAATAACTTGCCCGGCCCTTGATGTAATACAAGCCTTGCATGAAGACTTGGCCCTTCACCTACCTTATCCCAACACACACTGATAAGCTGTTCGCTCATTTATCTATTTACTCCTTCAATAAACATTTAGTAAGTACTTGTCCTAACTGTTAGCATCACACTGTTTGTTAGAAATTAAAAGCAGACAAGACTCATCCCGGACTCCCATGAAGATGCAGCACATAGGGGAGCAAACGTTTTTTAACAAGCAGAAGATACTGTGTGGTGGCACAGGCAGTGGGAACTGGAGCTTAGCAAAATGCCATGGAGGATGGAACAAAGTCATGAGTCCACACTGGTACCTGCCAGGGGATAAGCAACATCTCAAGCAGAGGAATATGGTCAACAGATACACATGCAGCAAACATAGTATGGTGCACAAAGTTGCAAAACTGTTGAGACTGCTGGGAGCCCAGAATATGTGGATAAACAGGAGGAACCATGACCCCAATTGCAAACAGTAGTGTGATCAAATATAAATACGCAATTTGGAAAGATCCTAAGAGAATTAGCATGGATAAACAAGGGAATGCCTGTCTAGACTTGTAAAAATGATTTACTTTTCCAATCCAAGTTTGAAAGAATTAAACCTTTCAGATCCTAGGGTAGAAGTTAAAGTTTGAGTATGAAAGACCAAAACTGTAAAATATGAAGTTAGGAACAAAACTAGTGGTTCCAGAAGAGCGATAAGAAGTCATGTCCGAAGACGATTAACACATATCCTGACTGAGTGACCAGGAGAGTTATGATCTACTGTGTTATTTTAAATAGCAGGCAGTGAAAAAGAAGGACTCTTGATGGAGAAATATTTGAAATCTAGGAGAAGGAAAGTCTGTGCTGTACCAGAAGGAAATTGCCTTCATAGTCTCATTACATCCCGATCCATATGTAAAAAAAATGAATCATCGTTTCTTTTTTGCAGATCATTTGGTTAAGAATACATGCATAGTGTCCAATACTGTCTCACCAGATTGTGGCTGATGTCATTAGTAGCCTGACAGTGAAGTACCCATAAGAAATCCTTCAGTTCTTGCTGGAGGGATGGGAATATTGGACATTGGTACATCTGTCCTTGTTCAAAGTGGGCATCCTCAGGAAGTTTGTCACATTGAATTAGTCCAGTGATGAGAGGATGGCAGAAGAGAAGCTGGAGTCTCTTCCTTCTGCAAAGATAACAATAAAATAGCCATTTATAGATGACTTTGGAGTGTTTCAGTTTGCCTTGAGTTCAACTAAGAAGGAATCTGAAGTTTAGGAACAATAAGTGGTTTCCCAAGGCTCTGCTTGGAGGCAGAGTGAAGATGATATATTTGAACTATTTTTGTGTTTTATTTCTGCTGTTTATTCTTCCTTCCCCATAGTCTACCAAACACGTAAATGGAAAAAGAAATGGAACAAGGCCTCGGTTCTGTACAGTAGCATATTGGAAGGCATATGCTAGACTGCAGCAGAATTCACTGAATAATCAACAGAGTCACAGGCACTTTTTATATGTCAAACATAGTTTTAAAATGTCTAGGAAGGCTGAATCTTTTACCCACAAGGAAGACTGAATTTTTCTCCACAAAATAAATAAAAACAATATTTTAAAGTTACACGGTGTTTCCCATATGCATTGACAAGTGCCCCGAAGGAATCTATCACTTAAGAAAATTCACTCCAGGATACCTCTTCCCTGGGGGTAAGCAGAAGCAGCAAGAGGGTTACCCACTGCCCTCTGTTGGACACTGTGTGTAAGTGCATGGCTCATAATGTAGATACAATTTAAGGCCATATGTTTTTTGTTTGTTTGTTTTTTTCACCTTGAATATCATGGTTTCATGAGTAGTAGTAATGTTAACCTTCATTTAAAAAGTAGGGGGACCAAGGTGGTTGATACAACTCTTAAGTGTAGAAATATAAATATTAAATAATAAGAGCCCATTGGGCTGACACATTCATCTTATTGCAGTCTGCAGAAGAAGAAATTTTGTAAATTTTAGCATGCTTTTGAATCACTGGGTAATTTGGAAAGGTGAGAAGGTGGAAATGGAGGGAGGGAGGAAGAGGGAGAAAGAATCTGAAGGAAACATTTAGGTTCCTTGTAATGAATGTGATTTAATTGCTTGACTGAGGACCTTGCATTTTCATTTTTTAACAAGTGGCCACGTATTCTATGGCAGCTCTTTCACAAACCATGTTTTGAAAGTCATTAATCCTAAGTACTATCTTCTCTGTCCCAGAGTTTGTATAAAAAGCTTACCATGAGAGAAGTTTTCAGTTTTATCTGACCTTTCTTTGCATCTTTGTAATCCTAAGCTACCTTATTTGGTGCCTCCTGTCTCCAGTTCTCCATCTATGAACTCCATATGTTATTACACAGCAAGTTAATAAACAAAAATATATCACAATCACTTACCTTACCACTTCCAAGGTATTTTTCAGATGCATTACTATTTTTAATCATTACCAAAAACAAACAAACGTCTCAGCCAGGGCCATTTTATAGGACACATAGGAAAGAAAGTCTACACACAGGCTTAGACCCAACTAAAGACAAAACTCCACTTAAACTGAATATTTTTACTTCCATTCACCCTCTCTCATTGCTACATATTCTGTCACCAGAAGCTTTGCTCAAAATTCTTACCCCATGTGTTTTTAACTAAGGAATGAAGGCATACTGAATAGTGGTATTGCCCTCTCAGGAACATTTAGTGAAACTCCAGGGAAAACTCTGGAATGTTTTCTCTGTTCTGCACAGAACGCCACCTGACACTATTGGGTTTATTGTTTGTGCATCTTGGGACTCACACTTTGACCAAAGCAAAACTATTGCTTTAATTCCAATCCATCATTGCCCAAGATTTAACTCAAATGAGGATTCCCCTGGCAGAGTACACTTTAGAGTTTTCCTGGCTAGAAAGACATTTCTTTTCAGTTTGATAAAGAATCCCAGAGATTACATCCGACCAAGACATCACCCTGATCCCCTTTCCTCTGACTTATATATCAAAAGTGAAGAATGTCTTGTATTATTTAATGCTAAAATAAATGTTCTGAAGGTGTTTCACAGATAGAGAAATGTGTTAGCAGTTTTGTGCTCTGTACTTAGCCTGTTGAGAATTCTTGCTTCCTAATCCTTTTAACTTCCACTGCTCAGAAAACTACAGCAGCCAGAGTGTTCAGGGATATAACATTGGGAAGTGTTTCTTTCTTCTAAGACTCCTGTGGTCCAAGCTCACTCTCCCTTAACAGAAATTAAAAAAAGAAGGGGTTAACAAACAAAGGGATATTCTGTAATACAAAACACATTAACCAAATACATAGTTTGATAGTCTCAAAGAACAGGAAGATTTCTTCCTGGGGTGTTTATTTTGTTGTTACTTTTTCATTCATGTAAAGGTAGACATCAAAATTTAGTATCAAAGTCTAAGCAGAAATATGTCTATTCTCTAGCAAAAATTTATTCTTCAAATCAAAAGTTTGACTCTGTCTGGGGATGTTGTCAGTGATAAAGCCCATGCTTACCTGTTCAAGGCTCTCAGCATAACTGTAGCCATACTTCTTCTCTACACACTATCTATAAAATAATAAGAAACTTTGTAATACAAACCACAGCATGCCCCCTGAAATGCTATTCCTTAAAGCATGGTGTAATATTCATAATAATTGTCTCATGATGGAAAATTGGGTAACACACACACAACACACACATCACAATGTACCCCACACTATCCACAAGTGTAATTAATTAGTGAGTCTATTTTAAAAGAACATATACTACCAAAGGAGATATGATTCCAAATATATCATAATCACAATTATATCAACAGATATGTAATAGGAAAAAACTGTGTTCAACTACAATTTTGATTTGAGTCTTTTAAATGTGCTAATCTCAAAGTAGATAGTTTTTAAATATATAAAACCTAGGATTTATCTTATGTAATTCTCAATGGGTTTGTTTTCAAACTAAGACAAAATTTCCCCTCTCAGGAGCCTCTTTCCACATCACTTGTCAACATTAGCAAGATAAATTTAATAAGTCTGTTGTTCTCCAATGACATACCTTTTCCATTAAATAAGACAATTTCTTACCCTTTTTCTTCAAGAGCCTGAATCAAATATCTCTAATAGTTTTGCTAGGTATCTTCTTGCAGCCTATCTCCAGTAACTCACTAGAATTCCAGTCTTCTGGGCCCAACAGCTGAATCCTATAAACTAAATGAAAGCAAGTTTTATTGTGGCTCAGTTTTGTTTGAAAATTGGAGCACCCACAGAGATGAATTGAGTGTGGATATAAAGTAATTCTGTATATTTCTCTGCATCCTCTCTGTTTTGTTCTGAGCAAACTAATCCCTCCATTTCCTCTTTAGACTCGAGATCATAAATGGAGCCATTACTTCCTACTTGAAAGGTAGCCTTTCTCTATACAGTAATGGAACAATGTTGGAAGTTGCCTCAGAGATAACATATTACAACTCTGAATTCTGAAACTGAGAAAATATTCAGAAGTTTCCATGAAATCACAGGTTCCATAATGAGATGGCTTTAGACTCATAGTGCACATATTATCTGACTTCATGTCCACCACTGAAGAATGGTGATGGGTTTGTCATTGGAGGTTCACATACACTCAAAGCAAATGTTGTGAAAATCTTGAATTTCTAAGTAATTTCAATTCATCAGTTCACAATTACACTGGTAAATATCTTTTTACCCTCTAGTTGGGATGAAAGAAGAAATTTTGCATGTTGTGGGATCCTTCCAGGGAAGTATATCCTCTCCACTGATCAGTGGATTTGAGGTCCATTAAATAGATTAATCCCATGAACTAGGGGGGATGCTGTGAATTAATCTGTGGGTTATGATAGGTTTTTATCCCTTCTACTTGACCCCTGCCAGTTACTTGGATCAAGGCTGCCTGTTGGGTATGATATGAATATCTTGTAGAACATAATCATCCACTTTCTACCACTAACTGTGAATGATAGATGTGAGACAAGTCCCAGGTGGGTGCACAATATATGTGAGAATTGCATGAATGCTGTCCCACCTACTCTTGCTGTTTGTAACCTCTCAGTCACATCATATTGATAAGTCAGTGAAAAATCCTTATGACATTTATGACTAAATAGTGGGAAACGAATGTGTGTGTTTGTGTTGTGGTGTGTGTGTGTGTGTGTGTGTGTGTGTGTGTGTGTGTGTTATTGCAATGATGGGGATGATAATGATGGTGATTATGATGATATTTTCTCCCTCCTATGATCTACATAATAGAGTTTAGATAGTAGTGGATATAATATATTATAACCCTATACAGAGATGTCCTTCATAAAATAGACCACTAGACCTCAACTCTAAACAAAGATGAATATGTATACATGAATGCAATAACAATTATTGAAAAGAGGTCATACATTTGTGCAAGAGAAAGAAAGAATAAATGGGAGGGTTTCAAATGAGTAAAGGGAAGAGAGAAATGATGTTATTGTAATCTCAAGATAAAATATTGAAAAAGAAACTAGTAAAAATATGAACTTTCCTAATAGCAATATTGCATCTATATCTGGTTGACCATCATGGATTTTAGGGGAAACAAATTGAAGAAAAGATTTATAAAGAATAATGAATGTTACTTTTGGTTTTGTTGGTTTATTTTTGGCCAGTTGAAATGAACAACAATCACAAAGTTAGAAAGAAAGCACTGGTTTAAAGAAAAAGAAAATAAGGTCAAAGTTCTTAGAAGAATTATATCATTGATATACTTATATTAACCTAGTGAATGAAGGATTCAGGATATGACAAAATATTTATTTTTCTACCCATAACCTTCGAATTAGTACTCATAGAAGAGAAATCATACCACAAAGCGATGAAGCCAAAGTTGCTTCAACATAGAAGTGGAGACACCTTCCTTGCCATTTTTAATTCCTCTTACTACCGAACAGACAAGCAGAGACTGGTAACAATGGGAAGTGGGTTGCCACTATGCAATTATGCAATGTGGGTGAGAATCCAGGATATTCTTTGGTCAACCTCTTGTTATCCCATGACCATTGGCAAAGTCAATGGAAAGCTGTGACAAACAAAATATAATCTTGTGATAGAGGAACTTGTGGGATTGGAAGGAAGATGATGGCAGGCAACCAAAGCTGATTAAAATGGCCTGAAACAAAGATCATGTCAAAGACAATGTTGTTTGTCCTTGTTACTAAAACCTTTTACATGGATTAAGGTGGGACACAGTAAACACTTCCATATGAATAAAACAGTTAAGAGAATAGTTGAAAGCCATGACTCTCCCACTTCAGTCTGTTCTAAGGCTTGTACATGTGGTGAAAGAGAAGGAGGGAGAGAGAAAAAAAAAACATGATGCAGAAATGAAATAATAAATCAAGTAAAATTAGGAAATAAATTTAAAAAGAATTCTGGATGTGAGTGCTGTGTTCATAACTGAGTCAGGCATCGAAAAGACTGCTAAAGATTTTAGAGCCTAATGCTGAAAAAAAGTCATAAGCATGGACAAAAATTCAATATGTATTTTAAAGAACAAAACGTGGCCTTGGTTCCTAAGTTTCTTGGAAGCTGCAAGCATAGTGCCAGTTCTGATTCAAATGAAACCAAGAAATAATGGGGAGATGAGAAAAAGGAGGGTGTTAAGAGGAACAGGGGTAGGAAATATTACAAGTGTCACCAAAGGAACTGGAGAAATGCCTAGGTAGTTAAAAGCACTTGCTACTCTTGCAGATGACCTAGAATCAGTTAGCAGAACTCACATGGTAGCTCACAACCACCCATAGGCACACACAAGGCACACATACATACATGCAAGCAAAATACTCACATACATATAGTAAAATAAACAAAGATATTTTAAAGAGTCATCAAAGGCCACAAAGAAAACTTAGAAAAGAGAAAACTCCTAGGAAAAAGAGTTGCAACCTAGACAGGACATTTTCTGGCCTATCAGACCTTTGTGAAAATTGTCAGTATAATTTTAGAACTTCTGAAGTGCTGTGGAATATTAGTTTAAGATGTGTTACACTCATCTATACTGTGGAATATTTATTTAATGATGCAAAAATGTGTTGCATTCTTTTAAGTTGCATTTGTTTAACTCTGTTAAGCTGTGTTATGCAGCCTGCCTAAAACATCTGATTAGTTTAACAGAGATAAATGGCCAATGACTAGGCAGGGGAGAGAGATAAGCAGGACTGGCAGGTAGAGAGAATAAATAGGAGAAATTTAGGCTAAGGAAGAAGAAGTCCCATGGGTAAAGAGGAGGGGAGAGGAGGATTCTGGTGGCCAGCCACCCGGCCACAAAACCAGCCATGGAGTAAGAAGGAAAGAAAGACATATAGAATAAAGAAAGGTAAAAATCCCAGAGGCAAAACATAGTTAAAGAGAAACAGGATAATTTAAGTTAGAAAAGCTGGCTAGAAACAAGCCAACCTAAGGCCAGGCATTCATAAATAAGTCTCTGTATGTTTATTTGGGAGCTGGGTGGGAGGCCCCCAAAGAATAAAAAGAAAAAAAACTGCACTGAAATCCAGGGAATTCTTTGTGTTTTCTGTTTATTCATGTTCCTAAGGGTGATAGCTATGTGTCCCTATCATTGCATGTCAGGGTTCAGAGCAGAAGACAATTTGTCTTGGATTGAGAATTATAGACAAGTTGATTGAATCTTGCTAAGTAGACAATTGGCCGGGCTTGGATGGAAGAATGTTGAAGCTGCTATATAGTTCATATTACTTTTGATATTGTAGAATGACAAAGGAACCCTCTCTTTGGGGTCCAGACAGCAAACTGAATATTGCATCCATAAGTGCTGTTGATTACATATTCAGACTTTCTTTCCTTTTGAGTGTATGAATCCTCTAACACTTCTTGGCCAGCTTGAAATTGCTTTGAACTCTGGAAGATGTGCTCAACTCTGTGGATCAGTCTGATTACATGTCTTTATGAGTCAATGGACAAAGCCCCTCTTGTGTTCTGCCATGTTCCATAGTGTCCCATTGACCTGAGGAAGGACTTCATTAAGGGGACACTCAATTTAACCTGAACCTGTTTGGAAAGAGATTTATCACTGCTCTGTGAAGCCACGTGACCTAAAGTAATGCATTGTATGACATAGCTCATTCTCTGTCTTATGTGCTGAAACAGAATGGTTTTTCAGACTTGAGAGAATCTGTTGTTTCTTTTCATCATACAATAACATATTTTTAAGCTTCTTTTCATTTCTTTTTCATTGAGGATCTTGGAAGATGCAATCTATTCTTATTTTAAATGTCAATTCCTTTAATACTTTTCCTTTAGTTACTACCCATGTTGTAACTTCTGCTTAACTTTTTCAACATGGTCACAAAATGTTTCTAATTAAGTCTCTTTGTAAAATAAAATTCAAACTTTTAAAGAAGATATGAACAAAATAGATTTGAAAAATTCTGTAGAAAAATACACGCAATGTGTTCTTCTTTGGTCCACAGCTTAAGATTTGTCAATATTAAGATATCTTGCAGAAAGAATGTCTTATGCCCAGGTTTTTTTTGTTTATGTCACACTTGTAATTCATGGAAAAGAAAGGCCACCATTCCTGTATCATGTTTTACTACTAAAGACAAAGAATTCAAATCTTTTCTTTTATTCAAAATAATCATTAAATTTCTTTTCTTTTTTTCATCCTACAGCCAATTAATATTATGCAAGCAGATAGTCTTCAAATATGTGAACAAATACAAAATCAAAAAAGGAAAGAGCCACAGGCTTGATTTTCCTAATTCTTCAGAGGCCAAGAAATGGAAAACACTGTAGTGGAATGATGAGTTCAGCTGTTTCTAAAGGATGAGTCACTGGGGGCAGTTTCAGGGATGGGGGTGGTCACCTCTGAATTTCATTACACACGTGTAAAGGATAACAAGAATCACCTGCTAAGGTTCCGGAAACCAGCCAGAGGGGAGTAAAAGCTCAGCTGCCCTTAAAACTGATATTGACCCGTCATTTCTGAGCAAACCCAGGTCCTCTATGTATCAAGTGCTGCTCTAACAAATTTGTCAGAGGGCTTTTTATTTGACCTGTAAAATAAACATTTCCTAGCTGTTTTGAGATCATTCAGCTCATTTTCCTGTTTGGGAAGAGGAACTTTACAAGACCTATATTAAGTCATTTCTAATATGGCATGTGTCTGGAAAGAGTAACCCTCGTTTCCTTAGGGTCTTCCTTTCACTGTATATCTCAGGGACATAAAGGAAAATATCAAGGCCCCATGTATAAATAGACATGCTAAATTGCATGTAGATTTAGTTGACTGCTTTTAAAGTCTATTATAATCCACTGCTAACTATGACACAGATTTTAGGTTCTGAATTGTGTCTAGATTGCACTAGAGATAGAGTAATTCTCTTTATATTCAGGGCCAAGAGGACAGGTAACCTATGGAAACATTTTCAGTTTTATTCCACAGGCTCACACCATTTTATCAGGTATTGCTTCCTGTAACTATAACTCTTTCAGCCAGCTGCCTGAGTTCCACCGCCATGTTAGGCACCCAAATAACACAGTCTTAAATTAGTTACAAGCTGCTGGCCAATGACTAGGATATCTTATTTGTTAGCTCAGTCTTAATTATCAACCATAACTACTAATCTATATATTTTTACAAGGACTTATCTTGCTGAGGATGCAGGCCTTATGCTTTCTCTCTTCCTGGGATCATATGGCGACTCTCCCTTTCCTACATTTCCCAGAATCATCCTTCTTTCATAGTCCCTCCTAACTTGCTTCACTATTGGACAACAGTGCTTTATTTATCAACCAATAGGACAAACATATACACAGAAGGACCTCCCCCATCAGTTTCCTGTCTTGTTTGTTTGTTTGTTTTGTTCTTTGAGGAGCTATGTTCTAGAATTACCATAGCCTATCCATTAAACTAGCATTGGGTTTTATGATTTTATGTATTATATCTCCATAGAATTAATGTAAAGACTTCTGTAGCCTGACACTTCATCTTTAATTTTTGGCTTGTTCCTATGAGATGGAAGAGTAGTCCTTTGACCTTGGTGTGAAATGATTTATAAGTTATTAGGGACACTTCTATGAAAGACAAATTATTGTTATTGGAAATGAATAGAACTTACCTCAAATACATTAGGAGGTGGGTATTCTAGTGAATTTTAGTTTGCACAGCACACCAATAGCTCCACGTGTCTGTAGATCTGTACATTTTCTAATGATTCAAGCAAAATGTAAAGTTATTGTAGTTTTCATAGCATCATGATGTCACCAATATTTTCTATCAACTTGAGAAATTTACTGAGACAAGGGAGGGCACAGTCTTCATGAATGAACTGTGTCTCTGAATTGTATGTTTTTTTTTCTTTTCTGTTATCTAACAAGGATAGTATTGGGACCAAACTAAGTTGAGTAAACCTAAGGAGTCAAGCAGCAATGTTTCTCCACCAAAGGGCATTTCTGATTAGCCTGCTAATTCAGGACCATCAGTGGTATGATGGCCCGATCCTGCATTTAGAGGTCAAAGCTACAGGATAATTTGTAGTTTAGTAGTGAATTTAAAGAACACATGACTTTAAGAAGTACAATGCTAATTAACCTTATAGGTATCTCTGGAATTCATTTTCAGCTCTTTCAAAAGTCTCTCCACTTTCCTTAAAAGAAGGCCTGTTAAAGGTCATGGACTCTCCTGACTTCCTGAAAGCCTGAGGTGTGTTTCCCTTCTTGGTAGCTGATATTACAGCCTGCTCATGTTCAAGCATCAGGTGATGGCAGTACATCAACTACTGAGAGTAATTGCCTGATGATGTCTAGTGGAATAAAATGTAGTCAAGAGACACTTGTGCTGCCTTTAAATATATTGAGCTATTAAAGTATATATAAAAATAATCACTCAACTAATATTACTGTGCAGTGTTAGGACACAAATATAAAGAGGCCCAGTTCATAATTTTATACCTAATTAATGTGCAATGAGAGATTAGTTTCTCTGTAATTGAATAACAGCTGGAGTTGAGGGCTGAGCCTTCTAACATGCTTTGGGTCATAAGTTTGAATGGCCTTGCTGTGATTGGTATAAAACACACCTAACAATGCCTTGTCTGCCTCAGAGATATGGGCAGTTTAGCAGAGTATATAAATGTCAGGGAAGTGCTTTGATTATGAACAATGAGTCACAAAGTGGTTATGGACATCATGGGTTATTTATTGTGGGTCTAGGGCATATTAAAACTGTGATCATTAACATAATATAGTTGTGGCTCTTTTGGTTTCCTCCATCTAAGGGATTAAGTGGGAAAAGGCCATCAAAGCACTTTTCACTTTCATGCTTGACTACTTAAAGGACTCCCACAGAAAATAAATCCACATTTTTATGGATTTGGGAACAGTTAATATTTTA